CTTCCCTTTCGGGTTCCACTCGAGCGATGGCCTGGCGTGTGGTGTCGCTTGATGGTTTCTTCAGAGCATAGCCAATCCACCTCCACTTCTTCCTGCTTATTTGTTGCACAATCGGTTCCTTCTGGGTTGGTTCACTCACTGCCAGAGATCCCTCCCTATTGGTGAACTTTTCTGGCCATCAGATGTTGAGAGGTATTGAGCGAAGACAGCTGTTAATGAAGGTCTGTAGTTTGTTTGAGATGCTCTTTATGACGCGCCAAGTCTCTGATCCGTATAGCGAATAGCACTGACTTCACATTGGAGCTGAAAGTCCGGATCTTATTTTTCATGCTGAGTGCTGTTGACCTATACTACATGGAACATCTTTAAGTTCGCTATAAAATATAAATTTTGTTCCACGGAAACTACTACAATAGTCTTAACACTGAGTTGTGAGCTGGAGAACCAGATTGCTTTAAAAGACAAACAGGCGGAATTTAATGGGACCGTTATCTAGAAAGACAGGTAGTAAGTTCAGGGAAATGACGTGTAGGTTCTTGAGTCCCTGAGTAACTGAGTTTAAACGTACAGCTTTGTACAAAGACACAACAGATCAACTTGCCACAATCCATATAGAACAAAACGTTGGAGAAAAGACGCAAGTACAAGAAACCATATTGAACAGAAATGTACAGTAGAAGGATAGTAACATTGAGAAACATATAATGCATCCACCTCACTTATAACGATCCTGATTCATATTGCAAATAACCCCAAAGACTCCGATCAGACAATCTACATTTCCATACGTGGCTTAAATTAACAGTTAAAGACTTCATGGATTGATTCCAGGTGTTGATATGACCGCCCCTAACTCCTTTACAACCCAATTCTATGTCATCTAAGATTTTTCGACGAGGAAGGCGATGTTCATGATGCATAACACGTGTCTCTGTCGATAAAGCTTCAAAACAGCAACTGTTAACTTACTCCCTTTATAGAACACTCTACGATGAACATCAATATTACTCACAATGTTATTCTACATAGCATACGACTGACTGACTGTCTGGTTTCAACATAGAACTTTCCACCAATGTGCAGCAGTTCAGCTTGCCACACTCCTTGTAGAATACAAAGCAAGAAAAGAAAGTAGAAGAAATGCATAATAGAGACAGTAGACAGAGATATGAGACAAAGGGAATGGTAATAGCGAAGAGAAATATAGTCTCATTGGAAATTATAAGTCACAAGGAGTGAATGCATCTTTGCCAGACATTGAGAACGATTTTGAGCCACATTACCAATTATCTTCATCCATTGGTGTTTACCGTCCCAAAGACCCAAACCAGGAAGTCTATACCTCCCTACGTGACTGGATGGTTTAAACAAACTGTTATAGATTTCATTGACTGGTGCTATGTTTTGATTTAACCACCGCTAGCTCTTTCTAGCCTCATCCAATGTCAGCTAACATTGCCCATCGTCGAGGAAGGCGATGAATAGGCATACGTAAAACATGTTCTAATAATCTCAGCCGATGTAGCTTCATAGCCTCGTCGATTGATTTCCCCTGTTTACCTAGCACTCCACCGACGCCTCATCTTAATATCGCTCACCATATTATAACACTTAACACAGGAGATGGAACACAGATACCCATGATCAAACACAGTCAGCTAGGCAGTCTTTTCATATCTTCCACTCTCAATGTGCAGGTCTCACAGCCATAAAGGCGGACGGAGCGGACTGCTGAGCAGTACACACGCCCTTTGGTCGACAGTCAGCCGAATATCACGTCTATGCCAGAGACGGCGTAAACTGGTATGTGCGAAACTAGCCCTCTGTGTCCGCACTGAGATTTCGTCAACGATCAACCCGTTGGGGCTGATGCAACTTCCCAAGTTAGTGAGGTGGTCAACACGCTCTACCACTTAACTCTCTATTTTAGGCTAGGAGTCGATGTAGTCCAGTCCTGTAACATCATCTTACATTTGAAAGGAGCGAATTGCATGCCAAACATTCTCAGATTGGAATTCAAGTTTTTCAGAAGACTCTGCATTTTGTCAGCGTCTTCACCTAGAAGTACCATATCATCCGCATATTCTAAGTTAATGAGATGATTCTCTAGTAACAAGTCAATCTCTGAGTCTCTGAAGTGAGTTAAGGTTAAGTCCATTAGTACATCTATGATTGAATTGAATAGAAATGGGAATAGTGGGCATCCCTGTCGGACACTATTTGTCAACAGTTCAGATGACAACTCGCCGTAAGCTGTCATCTGGTTGTATGAGTACGAGTAGAGTGCCTTAATCAGTGTAATGTATTTTCTGGACATTCCCTTTACAGCCAAGCACCGCCAGAGTACTTCTCGATCGACAGAATTGAATGCCGCCTTTAGGTCAAGAAATATGACGATTGTTGGACGCCGGTAAGTATGCCTATGTTCTGGAATCTGTCGAAGGGTGAAGATATGATTCATTCACCCTCTTCCTCGTCTAAAGCCTGCCTCGCTTTCTCGTGTTTGTGCCTTCCTAGCACCACTTAGTCTACGCAATATTATTGAACCTAAGACTTTAGATACTATATTAGTCAAGCTAATCCCTCTGTGATCATCACAGGAAGACTTGTCTCCCTTCTTGTATATCGGGATAATCAATGACTTATACCAACCGATGGAACTTTTCCTGACTCCCAGACGCTCTCTAGTACCTCAGTTAACGCAGACAGTAAACTGTCTCCACCGTACTTAAATACCTTTGGAGTCATTCCATCAGGTCTTGCTGCTTTGCCTCATTTCAGACTAGTGGCAGCTTTAGTAACCTCAGACACAGGAGGACCTGTGTCTGTATCCCATTCAAAGAGGTGTTGGAGGTTTGGTAAGTTGAGCGTGGCTGTGGGCCAATTAAATTGCTCCTAGTCGTCTACCCTGGGAGTTAATTATAGTGCCATTTTCCTCAGAAATTGTTTCACTCATCATTTGCCTTTTACTATCTGTTTCTCTGATAAGTCTAAATAGTTGTCTGGTGTTACCAATCACCGATGCCTCTTCCATCTCTTTCGCTCTTATCATCCACCACTGTTCACGCTCTTTACTATGGCATTTTGTTAGTTTTCGTTTGCGTAGCTTTCGCTCCTCATCACAATCGGAGCTCGCCGGAATCAGTCTTCTTGCGTCAATCAGTTCAGATGAGGTGGTAAAAATCCAATAGCTCTAACTAACTTTAGGTTTTATGTTATTAACAGCTTTCACAGCTGTGTCTACAGCCGACTGTATGTTGTGCCAGGCTACCTCAATGGAAGTTCTGCTGTCGACCAAAGGTAATCGTTTCGCTATTTCTTCCTTAAATAGGGACTCGGAGTCTCGATCTAGTTGGGGACGTAGCTGTTTCGCTGCCATCGATTTCTTGTGTCCGTTTAGTCGTAAGCATAAACGTGCGCGAATCAGAGTCTACGCACGTGTTCCAGAAGGAGCAGCAGTTTTCTGCTGACCCTGGCCAACGATACCCTATCGCTGTGTGGCCCACCTGAGTCCGGCGTTGATTTCTTGATGGAAGTCGCCAGTTTACTCAATGTCTCTCTTTGTACCTAAAGTTAGTGCTGACTAGAAACAGATGGTTATCTGAACGGAACTGTAGAAGACGATCACCGTTGTCAGTTCGTCGGTAGGGAACTCCATACCTACCACCTACATAATCCTCAGTCCGGTATAACTTCCCTACTTGAGCATTGAAGTCACCTGCCAAAACAACTATATCTTAACGTTTTCTATTTTGCAGCAAATTAGACAGTTTCAGGTGGAAATCATCCTTTATTTGATCAAAACTGCATTCTCTTGGGGTGTAAGAGGAGACTACAGAAAGACAAAGACGGGTAATACCATCTTTCCTTCTTCTAACAGGCCCGTTCAGAAGGACCGCACACGTATGACTATCCACTGAGATCCAGTCAAGAAGTGATTTTTACGCCCTAACACTCAATGCTATCCCTACATCTGCGACAGCTGTCAGTCAGTTGAGCTGTACCAGTCAAACATGGATAATTAATTCACCCTGATTGATTTCAATAACTTTTTAAAAAATCTACTTAAATGCTACACTACTACTTTGTGATACCTAAATATCTGCTAAGTTTCCAATAAATCGAATTATCATCACTTCAAAATAGTTTAAAAAAAATCAAGAAAAAAAGCGTGTATAATATATTCAACTAAAAATGAGTTGATCACAGCAATGAATGATAAATACAACGAACGATAACATAAAATATCACAGTTTAAATAAGATCGATTGATAATATTTTTTAAAAGAGAGAGACACGCAATGAACAAGACATTGAACCTATTGATCACACTTAGAACACTTGAACAATTAATCTACTCGCCGAGAAAAAGATGGCATACAATTCAAAATTCAATAGTTTATCTTAAATATTATTTTATGATTCTCGTTGTTCTTCTCAAAACAATAGAAACGGTGCGGGGGGCGGGCAATTAATTACAATAACTTGCATAATATAATATGATTTGTTTTAACAATCATATTCAATGTGTTCAATTGATATATTAATGAGAACAGTAAGTGAAAAAAGAAGAAGAAGAACCATATGGGCTATGAAATGCAAGAGGACCCCGGTTCATTTTAACAATAATCAGAAGGTAACCTCTTGTTGACAGTGGTAGTCACGGTGATGAATATGAATACATACATCCTTCCAGTTATTGTGAAAAGCGAATAATAAATAAACAAATATCAAATATGACAATGTCAACATTGTACATTGAAACTTTTTTTTAAAAAAATCACAAAAGTAGTACATATAACACACAAATATCATTTACTCGATGAATATAAATAATGACCTGAAAGAAATAAGGGGTTTTTGAATACAGAAAATATAAAAAATTGAAATTAATTATCAAATAACGTTTTACGAAAACAAAGAAAATACAAAGTGAAAATAATTCGTTCAAAGAAACAAAACAAAAAGAGAGGAAAAACGACCGAAGAAACGATGACTAGTTAACTATTCACAGGACTTTCTATATTAAATCGAATTAACATTTGATTTAACGACTGGATGTGTGGTTCTATTTGCGCTGCAAATTCTCCTGCCTCTCTGAGTACCTTTGAGTAGAAATATAGAGACATATAAGTAGGTAAACAAACAACAGGTATACATTATAAATAAGTAAGATATATTTAAGTAGCCCGAATAATAATAATAATGAATAATGATTGTGCAATCTTTCCCATTGTGATATGATAGAAACCTTACTTAGTAAAGCATAAAGCTGCTTTCCAGGATGATCATGAGCTGATTTCAGTATGAGAACCATTAAGTACTGAGCAGAACGATTTCGTCCTAGTTTGGTACTTACTCTTCAGCTCTAAAACTCATGACTCCTCCATCCTTCTCAAGGACTGAATCCAAGACATTCAGATTACAAGGTAAGTTCATTAAGCCCTCTGCCACCAGCACGGAATCCATGATATTGACTGGCGGTGACGGTGAGTTAGTAGTAGAATTTATGGGTCATTGGAATCCGTAGACCTTGTAGCCTGAAGGTCTTGAATTCGATCTCTGATAGTGAAGTCATGAGTGAGTACCTCTGAAGAGTCTTTAACAAGGGTGAAACGGCCGTCCAGTTCATACTGCTGGTTTTCAGTGTTTCTCTAAATGAAGTCAGATCATGATCTAAATTGAAACCAACACTTGTGAAATAAAAATTATTTATTCACTGTGAATTCATTGTTAAAAAGATTCGTCAATTTTTACTTCTAATGGAACGATAGCTAGGATACACGTAGTTTCTAAAGCTTTTACAAATAGATGACTAACACACCAGTTAGATGAACAACTTTAGCTCTCATTAGTAAAAATATTTTGGTCAGGGTATGAAATTATCTTTTACTGCGCATGGATTGTCAGTTGGTGATAACATAACACATGGTAACTGAAGGTAAAACGATAAAACTTAAATCTTTCTATTAGCTCAACTTCCTATCAACTCATTTATGAGGAACAAAGACTTCAGGGATTCGTAGCTCAGTTAAGGGAAAATAATTCAGTTGCCACTTGTTTGAATATATTGCATAGGGAACAATCAAAAGGGAAGACCCTATTCCCTCGAAGGTCTGGATTTCGCAGATGACTCAAGTCTGATCTTGCAAAAACTCGAAGATATACTAGCGAAAACCGACAAGATAACACGAAAGACAGCCAACACAGGACTCCGAGTAAATATATCGAAAATCCAGAGATGATGAAAATACCCAACTAACGACAACAAGTATCAATCACCACCAATGGGAGAAATCTCAGGTTAGTTATATACTTTATATATCCAGACACAGCATCGCTTCCATTAAAGGAGTCATGGGTGAGGACATCAAAGCTAGTCAGGATCGGGTCGGGAAAGCAAGACATGCATTCATTATTCTGAAATTAGTGTTGAGATCCACAGCATTAGTATTTTATGAGCATTTCCCTTCGCTTGATATTGAAGATTGGATGGCTAGCCGGGAAGAATATGCAACAGGGAAATCTGAAAGGCTGAGAGCCAGAACCAAGAACAAATCACCCAACAGATATGCAGACACAAAAATGAAGATAGGTAGAACATACACTGAGGAGATCGTCAACTGACATCACACCCCAAACAGCTGGGGTGGAATGCGATGATTTGGCCATTGGAGGATGACATAAACAATATCATCTGAAGAAGAAATGAAGGCTTATGAGTAGTCCTGGAGGTAGTTGAAAGAGATTGAGGAGAACCAAGTGCAATAGAGATGTGCTACTGGAGCTGTATGCTCCACTCAGAACACGAGGAATGAATAATAATATTGCTGTGATGGTAATTAATGTAATACCATTTTCTAATGAATACCAACCATGACCAAAAACTTTTAGAGTGTCTAGAACTCTTATCATAACAAAGCAAATAAGTTCAAAATAAAATAATCTTCCACTTTTTCACTCAGCATCAACAACAAAATCCAGTCGGATTTTCAATACAAACGTCAAGTCAGTCAGTTATTCTATACGGATCAGAAACTTGGTGGGCGGGTTACAAAGAATATTTCCAACAGCCTGTTGCAGACCTTTATCAACCAACGACTGTCTTCGCTGGCTCTATACTGAAGATGAGATGGTCGGGCCGGAAAGAATCATCAACAAGGAACTATGGGAACAAACAGACAAAACAAGAACCAATCGCCAACCAACAAATATGCAGGAGAAAGTGGGGATGGATGGATCGGACACTCGCTGAGGAGACCGCTGAGTGAAATCGTGCGCGCGTTAGGCAATTGCTGGAGTGGAACTATGCCGAAAGGGGAGCGGTGAGTGGGAAGTCAGTTCAAGGGTGACATGGAGGAGATCGTGTGAAGAGGAATTGAGACAGTATGAACTAACGTGGATGCATGTGAAAAGTACAGCAAAAGACAGAAGCAAGAGGAGACGTTGAAGTCTTATGTTCTACTAGGAACCCAAGGGAACATTAATAATAATACGTATAAAAATTGTGTCTCCATTGATATTCTCTATTCATGAGAGCATACTTTTATTCGATATTCATCGCACAGCATTCCAGCATTTACTTATTAACCCGTTATGTTTCGGATAAAATGTATTCCTTTATTTTCAAATTAGCTGATTCAAAACTTAATGCTATTGTTTAACATTATTACTGTTTTAAGTTTTTTTTATTTTAATGATGACTAAATATATCAAATCTTCTGATCTAATTTGAAATACCTGAAACAGAGGCAACATTAGTATTGTATGACCACAGAGCTCAGAAGACAACAACTTAAGGCTGATCACATGCGGCCTATTTAGGCTGGTTTTTGAAACTGCATTTGTAACAACAGAAGACAAGGGCCAGGCAACAGATCGTTTATTTAGGAAATCAACAGATGTTTGTAGATTTTCATGTACATTATCATAGATTATTGTATGCAAACAAACACAGTCTTCTGATCGGTGGTTTCTCGCTGAAAGTTATTCTGTCACTTATTTGTGGCCGTTGATTGAAGTTCAGATTATCTATCTGCTAACTGTATCCGCCTACGCAAAGTCCTCTGCGATTGGTTGTTGAATCAACCTTCGTTCTTATTTTTCAAGCGACCAATATTGGGGACGTAAACATTGGTGTAAATTACTGTCTATCAATTTGGCTGCCAGACAGCTCTCACCACACATTCATATAAAGACCTTCCCGCCTGATGTGTACCTCCACAAGATAATCTGGGATGTTCACTTTTCAAAGTCAACATTTTCTAACCCTTCCTTATCCTCAGCGCAACAAAGCAAACTTGACAGTCGTCGAGGAAACACCTTACTGCTATTATAGCCCTACTCGTCCCCAGATCCCTGACATAGTCTGAGAGACTTACACTATGCTGGCTACTGCATTTAGTTTAATCGTTATTCAAACAACCTTTCTAGGATAGTAACACTGTAAGGAGTAGGTCGTTGGGTCATTGCTATACGTAAGCGCGTCCAATACGTCAAAATAGCAGTTATCAGCTAGTAATGGTGTCCTAACATTCCTACTGCATGTGTCAGATGTAGATTTGATAAAAAGTTATTCAATGAACATTCTCATATTACATCGACATCAGCAACTGAAAATCAGAGTCCACTGCACAAATGTTTCGACCTAGTGTGTAACTCTTCATCAGTACAAATCTATGACCACGAGAGCGTCCACACATAGGACCTTCATGGTACAGAGCAAGCATACCATCACTTTATCATTGGTTTGGAATCAATGGTCAATGAATTCTAACCTCTATCAATGTGAGATATAGTCCCATCGTCGTCCAGTGTCAACTGAGGGTATCTGTCCTCATAACTGACAGGATAAACCCTAACACTAACCCATTTGACTGCCTTCAAATAAGATATGATCACTGACCAACATCAATTAGAGAGTCATGGTGGGATAATAGGTGTGCACCAATGAAAAGCTACAAATTAGGAACAAACACCAGCCTACTGCTCGCTGGTTTCATTGTTTTTCTCATTGATTTCGATCATGATAAAGTCTACCTTGAAATCAATACTTGAAAATTCAAAATATTTATTCAAATAAAGAATCTAACCAATCAGATGTAAGGAATTATTAAACCAATAAAAAATATCTCTGAATGAAGTATTTCATTCTAAGTAAGAGCGAATGAATCATGTGTGTTGAATTAGGGAGTCTTAACGCCGATACAGACAATGATTTTGGTTGATAGTAACTAACAATGAAATGCAGGAACCGAGCATTTCAGTCAATCAGTATCCGTCGGCGAGAGATGTAAAATTAAGTGAAACAGTAATAACTGATACCCGTCATACAAGAGGTGACCCTCATAGCGCAAGTAGCCTAGTGGATGACGTTTTGGCGTCTGAAACGGCAGATGAAGAGTTTGAGTCTCAGTGATAACACCATCACTTAATAGGGATGAAGGTACATCTAGCTGACAAATCCTGAACGGAACGAAATGTACACTCTAGATTCCCCATACCAGCAGCATATATGTCGATAGAGACTGAGCACATCAGTTTGACGAGGCTGTGAAGTTACAAAGGCTGAGATGGTTAGGACATGTGTTACGTCTGTCTAGTCATCGCCTTTTTCGACCAACGGGCAATGCTAGCTGACATAAGGTCAGGCTGGAAAAGAGCTAGCGGTGGTCAAACCAAAGCATGACTTCATCAGTCAGTGAAATCCACAACAGTTAGTTTAGCCAGCCAGTCATGTAGGGAGATATAGACTTCCTGACTGGTCGGGGTCCTGGGATGGTAAACACCAATGAGGGCTTGAGACAATTGGTGATATGGATCAAAGTGATCGTTCTCAATGCATGGAGCAGATGCATCCACTCCTTTTGACTTATAATTCCCAATAAAACTATATTGTTCTTCGATATTACCATTCCTTTTGTCTCATATCTCTGTTTACTGTCTCTATTTTGCGTTTCTTTTCCTTTTTCTTCTTCTTCGCTGGCTTTGTGTGCTGAGTGAAGTGTGGCGACTTGAACTGCTGCACATCGGTGCAAAGTTCTACATTGAAACCAGTCTGTCAGTCAGTTAGAGCAATCAGTCTAGTGTAATCATTCATAGAGGAAATACAAAACAGACTTAAACAGTAATGATACAGAGCAGTTCAGCAGTTATACATTGTAACATTCAACAGAAAACTTCCCACATCACTTTCTCAAGATGACGACGGGGGGGCGTGCATCACATCGGTTCACCCACCAACCCACTGAGTATCACGAGCTCTCACACAAACTGTGTGATTAATAGTCTGGTGACTAAGAGATTTGTGATTGATTCAAGATGTTCAATAAAAGTTTTGAATGGCCCATTAGTGAGCAAGGAACCTGCATCAGGTTCTTCAGTTACATACATCCATATTAATTAAGGAACTATTATTAATAACAACATTCATATTTTTTAAATAACATTGAATTAGAAAAAATATCGATCGATTACAATTCAAAAGCACTTGTGAGTGATGATATGCATAAAAATGTACCAGTGAATTGAATATCAGATGAATAAGGAGAAATTAATACAGAATTTATGAATTTACAGGTTCCTCAGTAAGACGTTGTTTATTTATTTATTGTTTATTATTTATTATTGTTCATTTATTGTTTATTATTAATAAACAACGTCTTCAACGACATCAAATTCACAAGAGAACAGGAATCCGAGAACCAAATTCCAATTTTGGACGTCTTAGTCAAGCGAACAACCATAGGGGAATTAGAAACTCAAATTTATAGGAAATCGACTCACACAGACCAAATCCTAAATTACAACAGCAACAATCCAATAACACACAAAAAGAATTGCATACAAAAACACTATTCAAGAGGGCAAGGACTCACTGCAGCACTCTCACCTTAAGGAAAATTGAAGAAAAATATCTCATGGACGTCTTCCAAAAGAATGGATATCCACGGAATTTCATCAAAAGACATATAACCCCAAGCCAACCTATCAAACCAAAAGCCCCCAAGGAAAGCACAAAGAAAATCGCCTTACCACATATAAAGGCTTTCTCAGAAATCACTACAAGACTGTTCAAACCTTTAGGAATTGACGTCGTACACAAACCAACAAAGTCGCTGCACTCAATTTTATGTCAACCAAAAGACTCAGCAGCGAAAGAAGATAAAATCAACATCATCTACAAAATAAATGGTAACAACTGAGGAAAACACTACATTGGCCAAAGTGAAACTCCTCTTCGTCTTCGTATTCATGAACATAGGCTAGCCATCAAAAGACATGATATCCACTCCCTCATATCACTACATACAGACAACCACCGACATCAATTCGAATGATACAACTTTCAAATATTGGACAAAGGAAACACCAAGAATGCAAGAGAATTTTTAGAAGGCTGCCTGGTATTGCAGTGAGTCGTCAATCAATAAACACATCAAGATCGACAAAATTTACCACCTGATAAGAACAAAATCTCACACAAAAAGGGTCAAAGTTCAAATCAAGGAAACAATCAGCTCCAACACAAGTAGCCTAGAAGGTGTGAGAACACACAAAAACAACCATTCACGTTCAAGGTCAGGTCACCAGGAGAGATGACCAACAAACTCGTGGAGTAATCTAAAAGCTCACTTCAAACTGAAGTGTGCATTGAAGATGCTGTCTATTACGGCAATGAAAGCTTCGTAAATAAACCATCCAGCTCAGAGAACACAACCACATCAAAAACTGTTCTTCAGTTATATCCTTGGTTCTCAAAATGTACTTTTGAACATCTAACGATTGGCCTTCAACTAGATATCGTGGATAGAATGGTGTATTTTCAGCTCAGAAACTATTGTTTCACAAGATATACTGTCAATTCATATTTGACTTGAATATATTGTCCGAAGGGAAAATATCATGCAATAAACTCCTCTGAAAATTCTGTACATTTTAAAAGTACTGTCCAGAATAAAGATGTTATTATTGTTATGAATGTAGAATGTGATGAAGAAACTATTCGAAAGAATATTCTTTGTTCATTGATGAATCTTTTAAAATTTATCATTTATTTATTGACTTATTCACTGTGTTAATTCACTAGTTAACTTGACAGTCCTAAACCCTGATGAAAGAAGGAAAGTTGGGAGTACGGAAGCCAGCGATTTTAAACTAAGAAATCTATCCAATAACTACAGAAATTTCGAAGCCTGGCAAAATTTCAGAAAATTATCTATAACTAATTAAAGTATGTTGTATGTACAAATGAAAGTGTAAGAAAGGCAGAATCAGAAAGGCAAGATACGCCTTCATCAATTTGAAACCAGTTTGGAAATCTTCTGCACTTCACAACATAAAGAATGAAATTTTGATTTTCAAAACACATGTGAAGTCAATTATTCGGTTCTTCTATACAGGTCAGAAACTTGCACTGTGTTTCAAGAAAAGCACTTCCAACAGACTACTTCAGACTTTTGTCAGCAGCTTCCATCGCTGAAGATTAAACGGCCAGCTGGCCGGAAAAAATTAGCAACCAGAAACTCTAGGGACAAATTTATCAAGGACCTATTGATCAACAAACATGAAGGAGAAAATAGAGATGGATTGCGCATACGTCGAGGGAGAAGGCTGTCGAATGACATCGCGCTCAGTGCAGGCCATCGTTCGAGTGGAATCCCAATGAGAAGTGGCGATGAGTGGATCATGTGTGTGTGTGACGGTGACGTGTCGGTGATCGTGTAGTGGTGGTGGTGAGGAGGAGGAGGACATGAGAGACTATGGGCAATCGTGTAGCTAGCCAACTGAAGAGGACAGCTGGGACACCAAATAGAGCAGAGTGAAAATGTGTTGTTGAACCCCTGTGTTCCAGTTGGAACCTAAGGGAATAATAATAATATTGTAATAAAAAAATTATTACCAACTTACAAGTAATTCACAAACATCTTGATCCAGTCCTAGTTTCTTGATAAATACAGAACGTTTAGGAACAGCACGTAAAACAAACTAAGGGAAGTAAATTAGAAACGAAAAAGAAAGAAAAGCTCATTAAGGTAAATCTTGGAAATAATCACACCGTTATTGTTGATGACTTAGGACCAAACATACTGAAATATCAGTTAGAGAACCATTGGAAAGCCTTCAGGGAGTACTAGACAGCTGTTTCGCTCTAGTTTGGGACTCTTCAGTAGTACGCACCCACCGGGATTCGAACCCAGGACCTCCTGGGTACAAGGCGAGCTCGTATACCATTAAGTCACTGGGACCCGATCCAATGGCCGGCCCATGAATTCTAACTTCTGCCAATCCACGCCAATTCAAATCCCGGTGGGTGCGTACTGCTGAAAAGTCCCAAACCAGGCTGACGAAACAGCTATCCAGTACTCCCAGGTTTTCCAATGGTTCTCTAACTGATGTCAGCTCATAATGAAATCCTGTAACCAATCAACCAAATCCCTACAAACCAATACTTGAATACTGAAATATCATTAAATTGACACGAATCTACTCATCTCAATATTCTTCCTTTGACAGACAAGGATTAAGTATATTATTCCTTCTGTAAGAATGATCTCTTGAGAAGTATCTAACCAACGGTATGATTTCAAATACAATAATCACTTTGCATTTAACCACGTTTATTTGTTGTTGTTTTCTCTGGGTATTTTTATAGCTGGCATCATACAGTTGGGGATGAAATGAGTCTCAAACTTGCAATCCATCAGTTTTGTATAACACTAGCTCAATGCTGGGATATATACCAACCGGCCAGATTGTTCGGATTCCATTCTGAATCAATGGGTTAGATTTCAGGAGAGGGGTGGGGAGTTACTCCTGAAGTAATTAACAGACAAGACAACCCAAGTCTCCTTCGGTTTGCTGAAACTATCACAATAAAATGACTGGGACTGGATCTGTGTGTTCAAAAGAATCCATCGTAGGGTTCAATTTCATACACACTTAATTTTGATCATGCAACCTTATAAACGTCTTAATCACAGCGGTTAGGACTCTCGCCGACCATGTACATGGTCCGGGTTTCGATCCCCTGCCGACGCATACCTGTTATCAATGGTCAGCCTGCGAAATTCGGGCTGCCGATATCATATACTGAAAATTCCATTATTGTACTAAAAATACGGTGAGGAATCAAGCTATAATCAAAAATATAAAGAGCCATGAGAGCCACCCCTTGTGCAACGGGTCATATTAATTATTTAATTCATTTTTAGTTTTTTCCCGTCGATTGACTGGACCGAAGTGCTCGATCTCAGGTTGACATGTTGGCTTCTTGTGCAGATGCTTCGGCCAGTTGCACAAGAGGTGGCTCTCAGGGCCCAAGTGGTCTAGTGGATAATGTTTTGACGTTTGGTACTATGAGCACTGGGTTTGAGCCTCGGTGGGAACATCATCACTCACTCGGAAATGTACGTACATCCAGTTGACGAGTCCCAAATAGGACAAAATGTGCATCCTGGATTCCACTGCTAGTCACCATCCACAAATTAAATCACAAAGCCCACTGTTCGAAGCCATATGTTCCAATCGGAACGCAAAAAATGGAAAAATCACTTTTTGTACAATCGCAAAAATGTCAAACATTTGAAAGAGATCTGATTTTAAGGAATACTGAAATGACTGAGAGATTCAGTTGCTGGCAGAGTTTTTTGATGTGCTTCTGTTTTCTAAGCTGGATGATTTAACTATGGAACCATCTCACTTCTATTCTAGACAATATCTTCTCTGACAACTTCACAATTAAGAGACCTTTTAAAACCCTTAAATTTACTAATCAATAGGAAACAAGTCACATGGTCAAAGTATCAAGTACAAAAACAAAGAAAAAATCAATAACAAATAAAATTGAACAAAATGACAAGGAAATTCATGAGGACGACCAGTCATAGGTGAATTCATCAGGAAACAGCTATTTTATCACAGTTCATTTCACTGCAAATTAACACTAAAGGTATTGTCTGGAAAGATAATGAAACGTTCGCAACTGAATAACTCAGCTCAAAGAACCCATCAGGAAAATATATAAGAAGTTTTCGTCCAGTGATACTGTAGTCTATTTTATACAGTGATATTTCATTTCGACATATTTATACCACTGCTCAATTTGAAAAGTTTTTTTCTCAACTGTGACAAAATCCTTTCGAATAAACTCTCGAAAAATTAATTTTCAAAAATTCCGCTGGATTAAAATTGATTATATTCAGACAGTTAAAACCAGTTAATGTGTTCCTCTACATTTTCCCTCTAACATATACAGTTTCTAAACACAGTAAATAAAACTCATCGAGAATCATAGTAGTAGAACTCTTTCAAAAAATATGAAGATTTGGTGTAACATAGAATAGAGTAACAACAAAGAAAGATTCAACAGTTTGCTAAGACAATAGAGACTTGAACTGGCATATTAGAGTATGAAATTTACAATTCATTTCCGTTTACATGATAAAATAACAAATAAAGTGTTAGAATTTTATCCTAGTTTGGGAATCATCGTCAGTACGCACCCACCACCAGGGGTCGAACCCAGAAAATTCTGATTACAAGGAAAGCTCGTATACCGTTCAGCCACTGGGACCCGATTCAATGGCCACTGCATGAATTCTAACTTCTACCAATTCGTGATTTTAGCTCGACCCCAACCATTGTCGTTGGTGGGACATCCATCTACACACGTGACATCTAACTGGACCTCACCAGTCACGACTTCTCACTAGAACTCCAGGAAACTCCATCCTATAGCAAGTAACTAGCGAGCACCAGATTAATTTTGTATAGTTTGATTTGTAAGGGTTAGTTATGTTTTTACGAGTTGATCACGGATTGATATCAGTTAGAGACTTGCTGCAGGATGGAGTTTCCTGGAGTTCTAGTGAGAAGTCGTGACTGGTGAGGTCCAGTTAGATGTCGCGTGTGTGGATGGATGTCCCACCAACAACAATGGTTGGGGTCGAGCTAAAACCACGAATTGGTAGAAGTTAGAATTCATGCAGTGGCCATTGAATCGGGTCCCAGTGGCTGAACGGTATACGAGCTTTCCTTGTAATCAGAATTTTCTGGGTTCGACCCCTGGTGGTGGGTGCGTACTGACGATGATTCCCAAACTAGGATAAAATTCTAACACTTTATTTGTTATTTTATCATGTAAACGGAAATGAATTGTAAATTTCATACTCTAATATGCCTGTTCAAGTATCCTTGCCTTGTAACCGGAAGGTCCTGGGTTTCAATCACAGTGGGTGCGTAGTGGCAATGATTCCCAAACTAGAATGAGACAGCAGTTGTCCAGAACTCCCTGGTTTTCAATTGTATCTCTAACTGATATCGATCCGTGATCAACTCGTGAAAACTTAACTAACCCTTACAAGCCAAATCATAGAAAAGTTAGAATTCTACCTAGATTGGTGATCAGTATATATATATTCATTTGCATTCAGGATGGAACCTCGTGTTTCAAGGTCGGGTAGAGGTTTGGTTTTATTTTAAGAGGTGGATTTACTAGCTTTATACCAGCTTTCCTGTTTACCGCGATGACCACCAACTAAGCGAGATTTAGTACTACTTCGGATGGAAATCGAACTCGAACCGCGAGAACGGTTGGCAGGTATTAGACTAGACCACCACCAACATATATATACATATATATATACGGGATAGCTGAAGACAATAGCCATGAAGCCTTGAACCTGTTTCGTCCTTTTTGACACTGGAAGGCGAGGCGTATCTGCAATTTTGAAGGAACTGATATCCGTTCTGAGATACGAAATTGACTGAAAGAAATTTAATCTGTCTCAAATGAAGGACTAAACGCATGACATTTGTTACTGCCTAGTACCCAATCAACCTACAAAAATATTTTTCATCTTTTGATTATTTTATTATTCCCTTGGGTTCCGAATGGAACATACGGCTTCAACAACGCATCTACACTGTTGTTCTGTTTCCTGCTGTCCTCTTTAGCTGGCTAGCTACATCATCTTCTCCTCTTTACCACCACAACCAAACGATCTCCTCCATGTCACTCTCGCACCCACGACCTACTTCGTCACCACTTTCCACTGGAATCCCGCTCGAAGGACAGCTTGAATTGAGCTCTGCGTCATTCGACGGCCTCCTCCCTCGATGTATGCTCGATCCATCTCCATTTACTCCTATATATTTTTTAAGCAATCGGCTCTTGGTTGGTTTGTCACCAGGCAGAATTTCTAACCACTCGGTCATTTGATCTTCAGTATGGAGCTAGACAGCGAAGGCAACTGTTGACAAACGTCTGTAGCTTCTTGGAATTCCTTGTTGTAACTGACACCCAGTGCAACTTTCTGACCTGTATGAAGGAAATGACCGATTGAACATTTCTGTTGAGAATCTGAATCTTCTTCTTGATGCCAGCTGAGTGTAAAAGATTTCCAAACTGATTTCAGATTGATGAAGGCGTATCCCGCCTTTTCGATTCTGGCTGGTTTTAACATTTCAGTCTGTTCCGCCTGTAGTTGAAAATTTGCTTCGTAGATAATTAAAGGAGGAAACCTCTGTTAAATCTCTCCCGTTGATAGTCAACGACACTGGTTGTTTTCGCTGTTGGTTCGTTGGTTGGTTGGTTATCTTCATCACCTCCATCTTCTTTATATTATTCACCTGCAGTACTTTCTTCACTGTCAGCTTCTTGTGCCAGCCAGTTTGTTGGTTTTCGCCCGCAAGTCTTCGAGTTTGTGTGACATTAAGCATGAAACTCACCGACACGCGAAATCCAGATCTTCTATAGTCTTCTTTCATCGGTCCAACGTATTCCTGTCTCCTCACTCCCAAGCACAGTCTGCTGCATAATCCAGTCCATAACAGTTAAGAATATCATCGGTGATAATAGGCAGCCAGCTTGTCTTACTCCTGTATGCACTTCGAACCCCTCGCTGAGTTTAATGTTATGGATCAGCTGACACGTGGCGCTGTCATATAGCCAGCTGGTGAATGAAGTTGATAAAGACGCTATATAT